AGGGAGGAGGAAGTTACTGGGGAGGAGGAAGTTACTGGGGAGGAGGAAGTTACTGGGGAGGAAGTTACTGGGGAGGAGGAAGTTACTGGGGAGGAAGTTACTGTGGCTCTGGTGCTGCCTCAGTCACTGTGGCTTATCTAAAGCCCACTAAGTATGGTTAACAGATCAGCCCCACATGTGCTATGTTTCGGCTCTCAGAAAGCATGGACCTGGACTTAATAGCGGCCTGGTTCAACTTGGATCAATTGCTGTGGATTTTTTACTGCTGTTTTATTACTGTGGTTTCTTGGTAGATGTAGCTAGTCTGGCGTAGTTAATCGGTCGTTGACCGTGGCTCAGGTAGGGGTTCAGCTACGGTGTCTGTGTAACTGTAGCTTGCTATAATAGTGACTTAGGTACTGCATCAATAACCGCGGTAGCCGCATCGCTAACTGCGGGAACTTCAGTAATGGCAGCAACCTCGGTAACTATGGCGATTTGGCTTAGTTCACACACACACAGTGCATTTCCAAGTGAGGGCTGAGTTGCCGATTCATGCTATGCTCCGCTGCTTTGCCGCAGCTCAGTGGCTTTCTCGGTCATTTTTTTTCACCCAATGTCGCAAGTTCGCTTACGCCAACTCGGGTATGGGCAGGCCTGGCTTAGATCTGTGAAGTTGCTGAGGTTAACCCGACGGACAATCAAATATCAAATGTGTCATTCGTATCCTATCCCGGAGTTTGGCCAGACAGCTGAATTAGCATGTGAAGATGAGAACACATGGGGCGGCAGAATGAGCAGTTCTATTCCAGGGAGAGAGAGAGAGAGAGAGAGAGAGGTTTGAAAGGTTGTTTGGGATGTGACGAGTGCTCTGTGTGTGTGTGTGTGTGTGTGTGTGTGTGATATATATATATATATATATAGAGAGAGAGAGGGAGAGAGCGAGAGAGAGAGAGAGAGAGAGGTTTGAAGGTTGTTCTGGATGTGACGAGTGCTGTGTGTGTGTGTGTGAGAGAGAGAGAGAGAGAGAGAACAGGTGAGTCTCAAACCTCGCAGCTGGCCTCATGGTGCTTCCATCGATAGGATGAGCAAAATCGAATGAATCTACTGCTAAAACATGGAAATATACACTGCCACAGTTGGTTTTCTGCCGCGCCGCGCGCGCATGTGTATGTCTGTGTGGGTGTGGGTGTGTGCATGTGCGCGTGTGAGGAGAGGGGGGGGAGCGACCCCTACCCCACCAATCAATCAATCAATCAATCAATCAATCAATCAATCACCAAACCAAATCCCAATCAATCAATCAATAAAGTTTTTTTTTGTTGTTGTTGAAAATTCATTTTTTTTTTATTCATTTTCAACCCCAACCCACCCCCTCCCAAAATTCATCTCCTTTAATGTTTTTTTTTTGTGAGGGGGTGGGGTTGGGGTTGCGCAACCTCAATAAAAAACACCCACCCACCCCACTGGCCGCCACACAGCCTTGAAAATCCACAGCCGCAGGTGGCCGCCTTCATGGGGTATTCATAGCAAAGCACCAATACGGGGGATTCCACAGATTGTCGAGGGTTCAGTCTCCCGATGAGACGGTGCAACTCTGACAAAACGATCTTTCGTAATTGATTTTTAGCTTTTCAGTCTTTGCTTTGTTCTTGGACTCGTACCTTTTTTCCCTTGTTGCTTTGGTTTGCTTTGCTACTGTTAGACTTGGTGGTTTTCTTATCAGGCTTGTGCAGCCCCACTACACTCCAGCCTATGTCCCATGCTGCAGCCTGTCATCCATTGTCCTGTCGTCTCGTGTCCTTTCCCCACCTCCCCCGATCCCTTCACCGCATGTCCTGTGTTCTCGCCACATGCCCTTTGCATCATTGTCCTTGTTCACCTTTTCCACCACCACCAGGCTCTCCGGCCTTTGCCCCTTTTTTCATGCGCATTGCTTCACAGTATTTCATAGCTTCTTTTTTTTTTTTGATACATTTTACATCCTTTCCCTCACTGCCTTGTCTTCCTTGTTGCGCAGTGCAGCCACGCCTCTTGCCTGTTTGATTGCTTTTGCATGACATTGTTTGCATTCCTTTCATGGGCATACCTGGGTGTAGGCTGTTTGTCGAGTGTCATTTTCAAGCATCCCGGTCGACATGACATGCCGCGATTCGATTGTGGAAGTTTTACCACCCAAACACACACGCAGCACTCGTCACATTCCAAACTACCTTCCAAACACCTCTCTCGCACACAATGCATAATCACATCCCAAACTACCTTCCAAACCATCTCTCCCACTCTCACGCACACACATGCACACACATGCACACACACACGGCACTCATCACATCCCAGATAACCTTTCAAACCATCTCTCTCTCTCTCTCTCTCTCTCTCTCTCTCTCTCTCTCTCTCTCTCTCTCTCTCTCTGTGGGTGGGGGGGGGGGGGTGTGTCTGTCTGTCTGTCTCTCTCTCTCTCTCTCACACACACACACACAGGCTAACTCTGGGCAATGTGGTGAGTCGTTATCCATCAGTCAAATGAATCCTGGGCAGACTGTCGCGGTTCAACATGACATGCCGGGATTCGATTGTGGAAGTTTTACCACCCAAACACACACGCAGCACTCGTCACATTCCAAACTACCTTCCAAACACCTCTCTCGCACACACACACACACACACACACACGCACACACACACACACTTCCGCACTAATCTTTTTGCGATTGATTGATCGAGTAATTGATTGTTCGAGTGATTGACTGATTGATTGGTGGGAGGGGGATCACCCCCCCCTTCCACGCACACACACGCAACCTAGAAAAAGGAAAAGGAAAAAAATTCAAAAATCTTGTTTGTTTTTTTTTTTTCTTGTTTTTTTTTGCAGTTGTCGATTTTTATTTTTTCTTAATATCAAAACAATATGCAATTTAGAAAAAAAACAGTTGGGGTTGTAAGGTTGGAAAACCCCTACAACCCCATATTTTTCATTTTTTTATGTTTAATTTTGCCGTGGAAAAATCCTGCCGTCTGTGGTCGCGGCCACAAACGTGGCTGCCCGCCGAGTTTTGCCCTGCGGCCGTGGTCACTGGTGATGCATAGGTGCTTCGGGTCATGAACCCGTCTTTGTTCTTTTTTTGCTTTTTTTTTGCTTTTTTTTTGTTTTTTTTTTTGGAACCAGAGGCCCGGTGCCAAGGCTTATATTATCAAGTGGACCGTAAAAAACCGGAGGCCCGGTGCCAAGGCTTATATTATCAAGTGGACCGTAAAAAACCGGAGTAAGGCACTAGCGAAGTTGTGGTATGTATCGTCAAACAGAGCTGGTCGGTAAACCGTAGGCAGAGAAAGAGATGAGGACAACCAACGAGGGGTTGTGACAAACTGTTTCGTCAGGATTTCAGTAACTCATCAGGAGGTCGAAACCTCAATAGTCTAACAGTCTGCAGAATCCCCTAACTGATTGCACTGTAAGTGATGATTCACATTAACCATAGTTGTGGTTAAGCATCAACGACTGTCCGACAATTGATACGTTGAGGTGGGCATCAACCACTGCCCTCCAGCTACCTTTGACAAAAATCAAAGGAGACTATCACTTACCAACACCTGATGAAAAACTTCACATACTGTAGGTTCACACCCTAGCACAAGCCAATAAAACACCCATGAAACAAAGAAAGGTTTGTCACAGCCAAAACATATGCTCCAGACACGTCAGTGGCACTAAGGGCATAACATGATTGCGTAATGATGGCCCCAACCACTTTCACTCTGGTAAAGCATCAACGCATGCCAGACAAGTGGTACCCTGAGGTGGGCACCAACCACTACAGCGGTGTGTCTGGAGCTAGGCTACCAGCCGGGCCGCCCGGGTCCCGAGTGGCCAGCCCGTGCAAGGACCAGGGAAGGTACAAGCAAAAAAAAAAAAAAAAAAAAATCAAAAAATTCCGAAAAAAAACTATGTTATGAAGAAAAATAAACTGAACAACTTTTGCCTCAGGGTCACATCGAAATTCTGCACCAAATTTAGAAGCAAAAATAAAATTTAAAAATATTTATTATTTTTTATTTTTTTTAATTGTTTTTGGCCGGGCCGGGCAAGTGACCCCGGGCCACTCTGGTAGCCTAGGCCTGGACTATATTTTTTGGCTGTTAAAAAATCAGTAATATATTTTTTTTTTCTCCCATGTGTGTTTTGATGATGGGGTGTGAACCAATATATCGTAGAGTTTTCCATTTGGTGTGGGTGAGTGGTAGTCTGCTTTGATATTCGTCACATGTACCTTGAGGGCAGTGGTTGGTGCCCACCTCAGGGTATCAGTTGTTGGGCAGTCGTTGATGCTTAACCACAGTAGGGGTTAATGTGGATTATCACTTATAGTGTAATTAGTCGGTGGATTCTGCAGAAAGTCGAGGGTTCAGCCTCTTGATGAGTTGGTGAAACTCCGGCGAAACAGTTTGTCATAGCTGATCGTTTGTTGTCCTCTTTTCTTTGTTTGCCCACGGTTTACCAGACAACTATGTTTGATAATATATATATATATATATATACAGGGTAACCGGCGTTCGGGATGGGCCGAACGCCCGAACGTATGGGACGCCTTGGGGATGCGTTCGGCCGTTCGGGCCGAACGCGAACCCAAAAAAAAAAAAAAAAAAAAAAA